CCTGGAGTTTTATCAAGCATATCTGTTTAAAATGAAGGGATTTGATTTTAAATTAAAAGAGACAGAAGAGACGAGGGCAGGGTGATCTAAACCCCCTCTCTGTCAGTGTGAAGCCATTCCCCCTTGTCCTGCCACTCCAAGCCCTTGGAAACAGTCTCTCTCCATCTTTCCTGTCACTCCTTCAGGCCCTGCAAGGCAACAATCAGGTCACCCCAAAGCTTCTCTTCTCCAGGCTGAACAATCCCAGCTCTCCCAGCCTTTCCTCCATCCCTCGGATCATCTTGGTGCCTCCTCTGGACTCTCTCCAACAGAACAAGCTTCAACTTGGGAGTTCCTAACAAATTTAGAAACCTTCAAGGGTTTACCCATCAGATTTCAATGTCCAGGAAATTCATCCATCCACTCAGACCTTCTCATTCTGTTCACTGTTCTTCCCTTTGGATCAGGAGACTCCAGTTATTTTCCAGAGCTGATGTGGATCCACGTGGATGCCACGAAACCAAGAGAACGAATCCTGCAAGCTCAGCCCTGGCACCCAGGCTGCAAAGAGCTGCCCTGGGCTCTTCAGAGACCATTTATCCCCCTGGGATTGGGGTGCAAAAGGCACTTGTTCAGCAGAACTGTACCCAGGCACAGCCTTGTTGCCTGGGAGCATCACCTGCTGCTGGGTTTCGGTTCCCAAATGTCTGGTCTGACACAAACACACACACACAGACTTCCATCTCTGCTGGAACTGGGCCCAGTTTGCTTCCCCCCATCTCCTCCTACCTCCCCTGTTCCCCAGGTTTGCTCTTAATCCTGTGGCTTGGGGCTGCTTTTACATGTGCACAGTGAAGGCTATTTAAAATCCAACCCCATTCCCAAGTGAGCAGAGGGATTCTGGTGCAGAATCACCTTGTAATGGATTCAAGGCTCTGGAGAGTCAGAGCTGGGAGAAGCAGCTCTAGAAAATGCCAGGTCTGTAGTTTCTGACACTTGTCCTGCTAATTCCTGAGTTAAACAGACACCCAGTGAAGCCTGAATTAACTTCCCACAAGGCACCACTGCCCTTCCTTCAGAGTGCTCTGCACTTTCTGCCTGAAGAGTCACTCCTGGATCTCAAAGAATAAACCAGCCAAAGAATAAATCAGCCAAAGAATAAACCAATCAAAGAATAAATCAGTCAAAGAATAAACCAGCCAAAGAATAAACCAAAGAATAAACCAGTCAAAGAATAAATCAGCCAAAGAATAAACCAGTCAAAGAATAAATCAGCCAAAGAATAAACCAGTCAAAGAATAAGTCAGTCAAAGAATAAGTCACAAAACACACCCCTCTCTTGGTCTTTGGCCCATCCAGGGATCCACCCGGATGGTGGTGGATCCCTGAATGGCTTCCTGGTGTTCCTGCCGTGGGCTGCAAACCCTCAGGTCGATTTGACATGCAAACACCCCCTCCCAGCTTTAAAACTGCTGCTGCAGAGCTGCCTGTGCCCTTTGATGTGCTGAGAGAAACCTTCCCATCCAAGGCTGGCGGGGGACACGGGCTCTGCCCTCACATTTTCCCACACGATGCCCTGAGAAGGACAACTCCCATGTTTCAGAAACCAAAAGCCTCCTACCTGGTGCTTCTGCCACCCAGGAGATCCCCTGCTCTTCCCACACAGCCCTGCTGCTGGCTGGGCACAGCCTGTCCCGTGCCAGGGAACAGGGACATGATGCCACCAGTGCCCGGCTGGGAAACCCCACGTCGTGGGTCAGCCCCCTAAATCAGGATCCCTCTTCCCAAACAGCATAACCACCCTGCTTGGCAGCAAGGGGAAGGTCTAGAGGTGCCCTGTGCAGCAGCACACTTTGGAATAACCATTGCTCCCGTGGGATGGGGGATTTTATGGGGGAAAGTGGGAGTAGCAGAAGGTCAAGTCTCTCCCCACCTTTTCTCTTGATGCCTCACCACCTTCATCTTCATCAGTAGAGCACAGAGACACAGCATGGTTTGGGTTGGAAGGGACCTTAAAGCTCATCCAGTCCCACCCCCTGCCATGGGCAGGGACACCTTCCACCAGACCAGGTTGCTCCAACCTGGCCTTGGACACTTCCAGGGATGGGGCAGCCACAGCTTCTCTGGGAATTCCCTGCCAGCCCCTCCCCACCCTCACAGCCAAGAATTTCTTCCTGATATCCAATCTATGATTCTAAACCTCCTCTGTGTCAGTTTGAAGCCATTCCCCCTTGTCCTGCCACTCCAGGCCCTTGGAAAGAGTCTGTCTGTCCTGTCAGCTCCCTTCAGGTCCTGGAAGGCCACAGTCAGGTCATCCCAAAGCTCCTCTTCTCCAGGCTGAGAACAATCCCAGCTCTCCCAGCCTTTCTTTCTATCCACAGTATTTTTTCTCTCTCTACCTGGAGTTTTATCAAGCATATCTGTTTAAAATGAAGGGATTTGATTTTAAATTAAAAGAGACAGAAGAGACAAGGGCAGGGTGGTGGTGCCAGGGCTCATTCCCTTGGAGCTCAGCACCGAACAACAACCACCAGCACAGCCTAAACAGCCAATTAATTGGAATTTTTTAGCTCAGTGTCACACAGAGAACAGAGAAGGGACCTCTGAGGGCCCCACTGAGCCCACAGGTGGTACCCAAGGGGGTGCAGGCAGTTGGCCCAGCTGGTACCTGCCACCTGGTGTTTATCAGATCATTTATTTATTTTTCTCTCTCTTCTGGACCGTTGGGTGGGTTTGGGGTTTTTTTTACGTTCTTTTTTTCCCCAAAAAATTGCCCTGTACGTGTTTTTCATTCTTGTTCAAGCATTGCAGTCGTAATGGCACTGTGAGACGGTGGAACATTTCCAGTCAGATCACAGACAACAGTTGTTCAAGCCAAGTTTAAAGCTCTAGAGT